ATATAGTTGGGGACGCTTTTCAGTATACCTGGTGGCTAATTGTGATAGGTATTGCTAAATCGGCTTCCAAAGGTTTTGGTGCAACTGCCTCTGGATATTAGCAAACGTTTAAATTTGGCCAGTTGGTTATTTGGTTCTGAATCTCATAGTCCCTCTCAGACATCAGGATGAGCAAAAAGTTAAGCGTCTCCTGACCTCCCTACAAACTGTCTTCCTTAGGGCAGCGGCTCTCCCCACCCATCAGAGTCCCTGCTCAGGGCTAAATGTTGAGCTTGTGATGGAATTTTCCTCAGCCAGGTTTTGATTTTGGCCTTGGGTTTCTTTGGTTGCTCCTTCCCCTCTTCTCTTCCTTTGCTGGTTGGGTCTTCTGTTTAATGGTTGGGAGGTCATTGCGTCTGGTCTTATTGCATCGTGAAGCAGTAGACAAGGAAATGAAGGGCCGGTGGCGACTCAGACAGGTCATGAGGATGAATGACCCCCTGGGCCCGTGCTCACCCCATTCCAGCCTCTGGTCCTGGGCTCTGCAGGCTCAGAAATTCCATTGTGTTGGTAGGCCAGGGGTGAGGGTCTCTGAAGGACTAGATCCCACGCATCACACTCTCAAGGGACAGAGATATAAACCCCTACTAATAATTGGCATCATTCACAGGAATTAGCATTTATTGAATGCCAATCATAGCGTTGACTGCTTTATAAATATTAATACACGTTATCCACAGAAGAACCCGACACAGTAGGTATTCTTTTCATCCTAGTGCTACTGATAAAGCAAATGAGGCTCAGAGATTAAGGGATTTTCACTGTTAGTAAACAGTGAAGTTAAGATCCTAACCGGAAATGTCTGATTCCAGAGATCATGCTCTTAATTTCCCAAAGAGAAGTGTAACCCGTCTGCTCATCAGCTCCCTGTGGGTGAGTCCGTATGGGAAGCCAAACTCCCATTAGAAAGTTGGGAAGAGCGCGGAGGCAGATGACCTCAATGGCTGCCATTATTCAGTCAGGGTATCGTTGAGCTCTAAAGGCTGCCCGTTGCAGAAACTGGTTGCACCCACTAGAGTCACGGTCCATCTGCCTTGGAGGGTACCTGGATGGTCACAACCCCATGGTTGTTTTCCCCCACACCTTGTTTCCAAACCTCTTCTGTAATATGGTTGGTGTGGTAAGAAATCACTTTGTTGTAATTGTCGCCTTCTTCTCTACCACCAGACAAGAAATCCCGGAGTTCACTGCCCAGAAAGGCTCCTAGGCCAAGTGAAGATTTTCAGATCACACAGTTCATTGAATCCATTCAACAACGTAAAACAAGGAGAAAAGGGAAAGGGGTGCTCCGGAGAGGTTAGCACACTCGGAATAGGGTGCAGTGAGGGGGGAAGTCCAACACAGCATCGAACCTTGGGTTACACAATGTTCTGTCCCGACTCGCTCTGCCGTGTCAGCCTTCCCTGCTGATGCTACAGCTAAGAGGACCAGAGCTGAGGTAGGCAAAGGGGCTCAGCACCTGGAAAGTCCCTGAAGCTGACTTATGCTGCTCAATCAGGGAGATATGGGGGCGAGTACGCCTGGCCATAGTTGTAATTCAAAACTAACCCGCTGAATAGCTATAGATTTCCCTGTGTATAGCCTGCAGAGGACATAGCGGGCCACAGTGCGTGTCCCCAGTGGAGGGCTGATTTAAGGCATGAATACCGGGTACCTCATGTACCTCGTGACTATTTGACGTGCTGTTTACTTGGTCCTTTCACCCGTTCCTCCCTGTGTTTACCACACTTGCTCTACTTGATTTATGCCTAACACGTCTCACAAGCTATGCTCACTTATTATCTATAATTAGTTTCTTCTCTTTATTTGTTCATTTCTCTTAGTTCCTATAGAAGAATTAAATATTCTTAAATAATTCGTTTAACACCTTACAACAATCAAGTCAGCTGGCGAGTCTATTTGATTCTTTAAGATGACTTTACATTTTTCTGATCTAATCCTGAAACATCCGGCCCTGCCCATCTGTTCACGCCTCGTCTGCACCCACCATCCTCCTTTCTCTCTGATTCCAGCTATGCTGACTCCCTCCCTTCCCCCGTGATCACAGAGCGCGTAAGATGTAGATTGGGTGAAACAGACAATAAAGACATCAACTTTGGTTTCTGTGTCACTTCACGGCTTCACTCTTTCACATAGATCTCCTTCTCTTTTGATCCTTAAAACATTCCTGTGAGAAAGGTAGGAATTCTCGGTAACACTCAAGATGAGTAAACTGAACTTTGGCAAAGCTAAGATTTGCCATGGTTCATGTAGCCCAGGTTATCATCTTCTCATTGTTTGCCGGGAAAATTATACATGCTTATTTTAAGTCATTTGAACAATTCAGAAATGTTCAATGAGTATAAGTGACACCTATAAGTCATTCTTAAATTTTTGTGAACACTTCACCTGATAATTCCCCTCACATCCATACATATTTCTATATACACGTACGTAACATTCTGCGTAATTGGTAGCTCAGTTCTTTTGGTTCAACCAGAGATATGACTTGTACCTCAATAGCTCGACTGTAAGGTACAGAGCGAGAGGTTTCAAAAGAAGAAAATAAGAATGTAGTGAAAGATGACTCAGGAGCGTCTAGCCTGGGTGCCCCAGAGGATAATGCTGCTATCCGGAGAAGTAGGGAGCCTGGAAAGGAAAGGGAAGACTTCAAACTGATCCATTGTGAAGTTTGATTAGCCAGTGAGACACTCAGGAGCCTCTGTGACCATGGTAATGGACGTAAGCCCGCAGACTGGATTCTATAACAATTCGTATATATTCTAGTGGAAGTCCTGACTTCACCCAGGGTGTGGGAGAGATGGCAGCCAGGGCTGGCTTACGGAGGGCATCTGAGCTACTCGGGGGATGGAAATGAGAAGGAATTTATTTTGTTAGCAAGTCAAAAGAGATAAAAGAACATTATATTCCTTTCTGTTACAGATGGTTAAAGAACTTTTTTTTAAAGAAAGCCATTTGCTAATGCACAAAGCTGCACAAATGCACACTCTGTAATCCGGCAATAATTCAGAGGCTGGATACAGCTAACAGAGCGTTCAGTGACACCCCATCATGATAGCATTTAGAGGAGCAGACAAGGCGGGAACAAGGATCACTGCTAAAATCACTGTAAAGAGGAGGTGTCACTAACGGTTAAAGGACAAGATCTGGGGGAAATCTGGGAAGAAAGAAAGAAACATGTCCATTAATTATAAAATTCGATCCTGTTAACAATACAAACCAATAATGTGTAGTAAAACAAGCTGACTGCATTTTTCACTCACCCGTCTTTTACATTTGCCCCAAATTCGCTGAGGAAATAAAAGCTGTTTTACCTTTTTCCTCCTGTGACATTTTGTACTACCGAAAATTTAATAGGGTCATTCACCGGATGTTTTTCTTTTCCATCAGAGAAAGCAAATTTAACATTATGGTAAACAAATCAGGTTCAATACATATTCAGATTCTAAATACTTTTGTTTCATTTAAAGCAAAACCGTTACTTAGACCAGCGGTTCTCAAACCTTCCTGTGTTTCAGAATCACCTGGAGGGCTGGCTACAGCACAGATGCCCAGGTCTCAGCCCCTAGAGTGTCTCATTTACTAGGTCTGGGGCAGGTCCAAGATTTTGCATTTCTAACAAGTTCCCAGGTGATCTGAGATTAAAGACCACGCTTTAAGAACGACTAGTGTAGACAATGGACATGTTTTCCCCCCCTCCCTTCCACTATTTTTTGATTTCTCTTCAAGTTTTTTCTCTCTCCTTCTCCAGAGTATCTCAGCGAGGGTCAGATATATTCAATCTGCATTGCCTTTAAAGTTTAAAAAACAACAACACGGTGATACTTGAAATAGCAATGCCATCAGTTGCGGGTGAGATTTTAATTTAGAGGGAAAATGAAACACCTTGAACACTGAATCCTCTTACTTCTCACCTGGACACCTTCATCACAATTGTTATTCTCGCCAGCTCCTCCTTGATCCTCCCCAACCCCTCCCCCACACCGTATTATCTCAGTAGGAAGCCAGGCATTCTGCTCTTTCTTCAAAGCCTGACGCCGGCCCCACCTCCAGCCCAGCTTTCCCCAGTTCCCCAGCAGCCAGTGACTTCTGTAGTGTTAGGACTCCTGTAGTAATTACTGTCTACATTTCTCATCATAATGAATACATGCTACCATGTACTATTGTGCCACTTGTGTAAGCGTGTGTGTGTGTGTGTGTGTGTGTGTGTGTGTGTGTGTATGTATGTATGTATGTATATGTATTTTCTATATTATTTCTCTTCCCCGTGCTGCTGGGCAAGTCTCGCATCCTTTGACTTTCTGGCATCTCTTTTGCTAAGCCCCATGTTTTAAACCTGGTTCACCTTCAACTGTTTGATGCTAAAGAGAGCAGCCAAGTGTGGCGACCAGTAAAGAAAATAGCAGGTTTACCTTTTGGGAGCTGATGGAGAATTTCTTCTCTCAACTACTCCCATAACCAATTTATAAAATTATAAAATCATAAGCCTAGAATGCTGAAAAAACCTTTTACTCACAGATGGGATCATTGCAAAAGTATAATTAGGCTAGCGGTGTGGACCTACCGCATTTCAATCCAAACCAGGGCAATGTAGAAGTGGTAGTGTAGGGAACGGCCTACTGTCTTCTTCACCATGCTGATTCTGGAGAATAACTTCCTTTTGCCTCGTCGCAATGAACGTGTGCTTTCTGTACTGCCGGCGAGTGTGCTCCTGCCGGTCTCTCCTAAGCCGCAACAGGCCCCGCGAGGAAAGTCACCCACACCCGACTGACCCGTTTCCTGAAGACTTCCTTTCAGGACATTAAGATCATCTAGCTCGCTCAGCTTTTATAGAAGGATCCTATTAAATTGTCCCTGCATGTGTATCTTTGCAACGTTGTCACTAAGAGACCATATCTCATAGGTCCTTGACTAAAGTCTCCCTTGAAGGTAGCACCGAAGGAAAACAAAACTCTCAGCAAGCAGTTTTGAGAGGGCTTTTTATTGAACACTAAAAACACAGCAATCAATACTTTTCATCCAGTGGCCAATTTGCCGGGCCAACTTGTTTTAAAACTGCACTAACGAGCTCACTCTGATCTCACAGCCTCTTTATTTCTTTGGAGTTTCGAACGCTTTCTGGTTGGATTTGTTTTGCTCCTGGCTCAGACCTTGTGAAGTGAGCAGACATGTCACAGGAGGGTATCCAACATGAACAGGGCCCTCAAGCCATCCGGTCCCTGACCCCATTGAACAGAGGGGTGAAGTGTGGTGCAGATAAACTGACGAGGCTAAAAGCCATGAGGTGGCACAAGTGGCCTCTCTGAACTACAAACCTGAGCTGGCCTCCTTCTGCCGGTTTCTTCTCTCCGGAGCCCGGGCCGACGACCACAAATGAGGATAGCGCGCGCCAGAAAGAAGCCTGGGTCAGCAGGGGCCCGGAGAACGTTTCGGATGGAGGAACAAACCCAGAGGCAGCTTTTGGCTTTGAGGGTTGTGAGCGCTTTGGGCGCCACTAGCTGTCAAAGTCCGAGCTGACTGGAGCCACTGTCAAGTGCAGCTACCTCCCAGCTTGGTTGGTGTCGTACTTGACGCAAGGGCCCAGCTCCTCTGCTGACTGTATGGTCGGCCCTCAAAAGGGCCTTTGGGGTCGTCAGGCGTTCAAGTGGAGCGGCAGCTTAGCCTCCGAAGCCGTACAGGGTGCGGCCCTGGCGCTTGAGCGCGTAGACCACGTCCATGGCAGTGACCGTCTTGCGCTTGGCGTGCTCCGTGTAGGTGACCGCGTCGCGGATGACGTTCTCCAGGAACACCTTCAACACACCCCGGGTCTCCTCGTAAATGAGGCCCGAGATCCGCTTGACTCCCCCACGCCGAGCAAGACGCCGGATGGCGGGCTTGGTGATGCCTTGGATGTTGTCTCTCAAGACTTTGCGGTGCCGCTTAGCGCCCCCCTTGCCTAAGCCCTTCCCACCCTTTCCTCTGCCAGACATGACTGCCGCAGGCCGGAGACACGATCTCTGCGAGCGGCGAGGGCGGCGTCTTTCCTCATATGCAAGAGCATCGGACCAGATTGAAAACCCAAAGCGCGCGGGCGGGAAGCATTGTAAATTGTCCCCGCCCGCTCTGTGTGTCGTCATTTCTTTCCGGCTGTTTCCATATCCCCCTCCGCCCTCCCCGACTCCCTCTAACGGACTCTGCCCTTCGTGGGAATCTATTTGCCATAGTCGCCGGGAGAATTCGGATCCAAGCGGATCCCGCAGCAGTTTTCGCCTCTGCCTCTCTCCGTCTGTAGGCTCCCCGAAGGCTCTCAACTTGGGCTAAGAGGAAAGGTCCTTCTGGCGGCAGGAGACCAGAAGAGGAGCCAGTGGATCCAGAGACGGGAAGGAGAAGAGAGCGCCAGCGCCGGGTCTGATCCCGACCAGAGGGTCCCAGGCTTCCGAACCGTGTTCCATAAAACTGCAACGAAAGCAGTTCCGAGAAGTGGACGGACTGACCGACGAGGCGATCGCACGAGCAGGGCACCCGGGCTGTGGAGGGAGGGGGAAGAGCGCCGTAATTCCCGAGTCTAGTCTCCCGTTGGTATGAGGCGTGGAATTCTCCCTCACCCGAGAGAAATCGGATCCTAGGGAAACCGGTCTCACTACACCGCCAAGCCTTCTGGTGGAGTCAGTGAACCCACCGCTCCGCTGAAGGAAGCCACATATGCAGAAAGGAGGCTGAAGGATGCGCTGTACGTCCGTTTCTGCAGATCCCCTAAAACCCACCCTTTTCAGCCGGGATTCAGGGCCCAACCGTGTCTCCACCGAGGCCCGCGCGGGGCCAGCGAAGTTTGCTGAATAGAGTTTCGCGAGAGGACAGCCGCTCCAGATGGAGAGTCGTTACCAGAAACTGCCCTACGAAATTGTTTGGGGTCCTGACCTGTATAGCACGTTGGTTACTTTCGGGCCTCCTGTAGGAGAATCCACAGATGTTGTGGTTTCTGCATCAGAAGGATGACAGGTTTTTTTCTGAGAAATGTGTATTATTTGAAAGTAGCGTATGCGCCTTTCTGCATCTCTGCTTTGGCTCCCGCTACCCTCTATATGCTAATGAATCCCAAATCTACATGTGTATCCAGACTTCTAGGCTCCACACCTGTGGATCTTCCTGGTTGTTCTTTAGTCATTTTAAACTTAAAATCCAAAGTGTCCCCAAATCAACGTGTTTAAACTTAAAATCTCCAAGGTGTGACTCTCACAGGAGCTGAGGGAATCCATTCTCTTCCTTCTCCAACTCATTGACTGGCTCTGTGTCTGCTTCTGAATGGTGCCACCATGCCACACATGCCTAAGCCAGCACCCTGGAATTCACCCTAGACGGTGAAGGGTTGTAGGACAGGCCACCCCAAAATATGCCTGTAGGAGTTTGGGACATGCCACTCCAAAATATGTTGTTTTGGCATATTGAGTATTTTGAGCTGTAGGCACTTGGAACACAGCCAATGAGGGGCTGGCCTTCTTTGAACTCCCCTTATCTGCCTGAAGATAGATCCTCCAGAAGGAGCTCAGTTGACATCAGTCCCCTCCCCGGGAGTTTCGTCAACCAAGGAAGTCGGACTCTCGTCAAAGGAGAGGAGACTTGAAGTCCACAGCACACTCAGACAAACTTGGTCACCAACTGTCATACCTCCCATCGATTCTAAAGACCCAGTCATCTTTCCTAAAAATCGTTCACTCTCCCCTGAGAGGCATACGTGCTCCCTCTGCTTTCTGTGAAGATGCTACTTAAGTCTGAATTCTAAGCCACCTCGGGAAGTTACTCATTTTTCCCCGGCTATCTCCCGTGTATACGTGAGGTACGCATGCTACTAAACGTCTGTTTGTCTTTCTCTAGTTAATCAGTCTTTTATTACAGGGTCTCAGCTAAGAACTCAGAAGGGTAGAGGGAAAATTCTTTGTCCTCCCCTACAATGTCTTCCTCTCCCTTGGCTGCTTCAGGGGGGAGAAACACACCTGCTCTTTTCTGACCCTTCAGCAGCTCCTGCAGAATCGACCACGTTACTTTACATCTCTTTTCATCTTACATATTCGCCCCACCCCCACCCCCACTGACTGTCTGTCTGGCAGTGATTTTTGTTTATTTTCCTTTGTCAGCTGATAAGTAGTTCAGTGTGTAGCGTAAGCTCCATAATTGTTTACAGGATGAACGGTTCCTGCGTTTGACTGCTTTTAAACAGTAGTAGCAAAGAAAGTCACAGCCCAATTGCAACAGGATAAAGCAATCCAAGCCAAGGATGATGGGAGTGAGGGGTTTTGGTGTCAGAGGGGACAGGACCCCAGGCGGAATCAAAGATAGTCTACAAACTTTCTTTTCAATAGTCTTCATCCTCCTCTGAGGGGCCGAACCACCCATTACCTAAACAAAATTATCTCCAAGATCACCTCTCCCTTTCCCCGTTGCAAGTAAACTCAGACTGAGGAAGCGACTCACATGCAGGCGTGAATGAGTACCTGAGGTATTTATCAAGACGGGACTCTGACGGGAGAGTGGTGTGGGAGATTGAATCCAACTGGCGGGATTAATAGAATGGTTATTTTGGGGTGGGAGTGGGTTTCCCTGGAGCCTCTAAAAAAACATTCTTCCTAAAAGAACAAGGATTGGCAATTCTCTCCAAGAGAAGTTTGGGGGAAAAGTGGTTTAGAAGATTGCGAGTAGCTCCCAACTAGCTTAGTGCCCAGTGCAGGTGCTAGCTCCGCACAGGTTTTGGCTTTCTTCTGACAGGCAAATGGCTGCATTGCTCTAAGTCATGCTGGGCAGCCACTTTCAGCTGTAGGCAGAGGTAGGTGAACAGTTTGATGGAGTCTTGACATCCGCTGTGCACTTCCTGTTAAAGCTTAGCATCTCTCATCTGAACTCCTTAGGAACCTCTATCAGAATGTCTTTTTGGTCAATTCTCCGCCAGGTCACAGAGTCTCTTGCTTCAAAACCACGGCTTCTCAACCTGATAAGGTTCTATAATCATGCATTTAGACTCCTTCAACCTTGTCCCTACCTGCCTTTCCAGAACTATCTACTTGCCACATCCTCCCCACACACTCTAGCCACAACTACTCTATAGATCCTGAGCTCTGTGGAGACTAGGGTTTACAGAGCCTTTTACATGTGAAGTTTTTCAGAGGTCCCTTTTTGGAGGCTCCTGGTATATGGGGCAGTGGGCGGAGGGTGGCCAAAACCGGGTTGTAAAATTTTGACATATTTTCAGTGATTACATTTAATTAATCAATGCTTGACTCACACAATTACAAGACAACGTACAACTTCATTTGTAGATTATATCAAAAGCCTAAATCAGAAGTCATTCATGAATTTGAGACTTGTGTCATGGTCCTTCTGAGTTTCCCCCAATAGGCCCTGTTGGTTCATGCCTTTGCTGCCTACCTCCCTGTATGGTGTTCCTTAGTCTGGTTTATCCTTTCATTCTATTTGATAAAATTCCTTTTTAAGGCATGGCTTAAATATGAATTTCCAAATTGTTGTTTCTTTCTTCCAGTTCTCATAACTACTGTGGGTATCTTTTTTATCAATAATAATATTAGTGGCTGTATTTTAATGAATACTTTCCATGCTTCAGGCTCTAGGAAACATTTTTTCATGGATTCTCCTGTTTAATTCTCAGAGCAACCCTGTGAGGTGGCTAATGTTTGACTTGCCCTTTGCCAGTGAGAAGACTGTTGATCTGTGAATTCCCCAGGGGAAGGGGTGTGAGAGATGTGGGCTGAGTACTGTCGCCACCACTCTCCTCATCTGTAAAATGGGGTTTATAATACCTTTCTCTCAAGCCTGTGAGCATGAAATGAAGTCATGCATCTAGACTGCTGATTACAAAAACTAAATGAAAAGAATGTTGAGGAAGAAGACATGCTAAGAAAAAATAGTCCCTTTTTTCTGGAAAAAGGCTATACATCAGTTGACTTGTGAGCATTCTGTTCTAATTTTCCCTGTAAACCAGAAGTATTAGGCATCATACTAACACCTGTAGCCTGAACACACACACACAAATCCAAGTCATTTCTATTAAATAAATACATTAAAACATATAGCCCTTAAAATTCCTGCCATGTGTAGCTTAAGTCTCATGAGGATGGTTAATGGAATAAAAATACTTGTCATGTGGAGCACGTTACTTGAGCTCACCTCGTTCCACTGGGATATGTTACGCTGGAAAGCCAGGAATCCTATAAACTTGTAAGGGAGGGAAAACCTCCTTCTGCCCCTCCGATTCTGTGGCTAGGCCCGAGAATTAAATTGACATTAGAGTAGGGACAGTAAATTACGGGACAATGACTAGAAATACAGGGGGGAAGCTAACGGAAGACAAGGGTGTTTTAGCAGCTTTGTTTGTACAGCTGCAGTTCCACATCAGCTCCCAGTCGCTGGTGATCAGAGTGTTCTCTTCGTGGTCCTGGGAGGGCGCCTTCCTCATGGGAAATTTTATGAGCTGCTTTTAGACGAGAAGAGGGATGTCGGAGCTGCCTTCCTGCATCTGCTGTTTCTCAAGTACCTTCAGTTCAAAATAGTCGACATACCAGAGCGACTAGTTTTGGGGTGGCGTGTTCTGAACCCCTTCGAACTCAAAGCTGCTGTAGGGAAGGCAGCATTTCACCTCTACCTTCTTAGAGCTTTTGGCTGGGCCTGAGATTTAAATTGATGTAAGACAGGCTAACAGGAGGAAAGCATACAAATCTATTTACTGAAAGTTTTACTTGGCAGGGGAGCCCTAGTAAGGACATGAAGACCCCAAGAAGCGGGTTAGAGTTGAACCCTTCCATGCTGAATTGGACAAAGAGTAGCAAATCGTGACAATGTAACAAGACAAAAGGGCCCCAGCTGGGCAGTTAATGGTGGAAAAGTAACTAGGAAGGTAAAGGTTAGGTTAACAAGGTTTATACACCTTTCTCTCGGCTTTGACTCCCCATCCTTGGTGATAAGAATGTTATTTTCCTCCTGGTAGAGGGAAGACATCTTCCATATGGAGGTTTCATCTCCTGTTTTTAGGAAGAGAAGGGGAGGTCAGAGTGCCCTTCTTGCACCTGCCGTTTTTCAAGTGCCTTTAGCTCAAAATAATCCTTATGCCAAAGTGGCGTATTCTGCCACTGATGGGGTTCAGGACACGCTACCCCAAAATATGGCACCTTCACACGTGGAATATTTTAAGCTGAAGAAATTTTGAGAAAAGGACAGAAGCGAGAAGGTCACTCTGACCTTCCCCGGGACCTTCTCCCCTGAAACGGGTCATAAGAGCCTCCTGGGAGAGGTGGCCTCCCTATCCTCCCGGGAAAGGAGCATCCTTGTCTCTAAAGACAGAGGGAGGCCCAGAAGATCCTCTCAAACAGGCCTTGCTGCCTCCCCGGTTACTACACTTACCTCGTTCTCCTTCACCTGTTGTCTCTCTACTCGATTGCCGCCCTTCATCAAACCTGGCATAAAAGTACTCAGGTCTGACTGTTTCTTCGGATCTTCATTTCCTTATGAAGGTGCCTGTGTCACGTAAAACTTAGATGAAATAAGTTGGTGTGCTTTTCTCCTGTTAATCTGTCTTTGTCAGCTTAATTTTCAGACCTGGCCAGGGGACCCGAAGAGGGTCGAGGAAAACTTCTTCCTCCCTGCAGCACCCTTTACTGTGCAGTACAACCATTAGTGTTCCAGACAGCCAGAAAAGGGGACATTTTTATCCAGTGAGCAGGATGTTGAGGGAATGAGTTTGCCTCAGATGGGGGTAAGGACAGCAGTTCAAAATCCTGTGGCTTCTCAATTTGGTCCAGGGCTGCAGGCCACTCAGGATGAAAGAGAATCAGGCACATAGCCTGACCAATCCACAAACCAAAGATTCAGTCTCATCTTGGGGTCCCTGGAGCCCTGGGGTTACTTGAAGTCAAAGACTCAACACAAACTGTCTTCCTGGAACATTTATTTTAATTTAGCCCATTACGTTTGTATTAAAAACAAATACAGGGGCTGGCCTTGTGGCTAGTGGTTATGTTTCCACATTCTGCTTTGGTGGCCTGGTTTTGCGGGTTTAGATCCCAGGCACAGACATACACAGCACTTGTAAGCCATGCTGTGGTGGCGTCCCACATACAAAATAGAAGATTGGCACAGATCTTAGCTCAGGGACAATCTTCCTCACCAAAAAGAAGGAAAAAAAAAAAAAACCAAAAACCTAATACATGAACATATAAAACACTACATGCCTAATAATTCACTTATTAACTTTTTCTTTTCCCTGCCTATTTCCTATGGTAAATTTTAAGCTTCTCATGACTGTTCCCCACCGCCCCCCCAGCACCAAATAATTAAATTTCAGTGCTCAATTTTAAAACTGCAGATTCTTATTATTTCTAGGAAAGAAACTTTGGAAATATTAGGAGAAAAATATTCCATCTTTCGGGGCTGGCCTGGTGGTGCAGTCATCAAGTTTGCATGTTCTGCTTTGGTGGCCCAGGGTTTGCTGGTTTGGATCCTGGGTGTGGACCTATGCACTGCTTGGCAAGCCATGCTGTGGCAGGCCTCCCACATGTAAAGCAGAGGTGGATGGGCACGGATGTTAGCTCAGGGCTGGTCTTCCTCAGGAAAAAAAAATCCATCTTTCCCACAGTTGCAGCCAAGTTGAGATTCTTCTACATTATAAATTTGCTTCTGATAAAGTGGTGTAGTGAGAATGTTCACAGGAATATCACTCTTTGGTCCAGTGTGGAGACCAGATGGAATTGAACAAATATGGATAGGAATTCTGTTAATTAAAGATGACTTCTAAGGCAACCATATATCACTGGTTGTTAGATTCTGAGAAATGTTATCTATAACCCTTAAAAGTTTACTGTTTTGATTCTCTTATTTGACTTGTTGTCCAGGAATTAATATTTAAATTGGCATCTCTGTTTTCTGAGAAGGAGAACTTTTTATACAATTTCCTATTAAGTCAGAGAATGTCTCTTGGAATTTTCTTATGCTCTATATTGTAAAGGTAAAATAAATCCCATGACTGTTGAATTCTATTTAAACATAGAGTTTGAGAATCTTTTTCTTATTTAGATGAACAGATTCATACATCATGGCCAAGAGTGCATACCTTAAGAAAAAGAAAGAAAGAAAGAAAATTGCAAAGAAATGTGACCCTCGGATGGGCTGCTTTGGGTTGTCATCCAGACCCCATAGGGTAGTTTCCTCTTTTTTTTTTTTTTTAGATTTTTATTTTTTTCCTTTTTCTCCCCAAAGCCCCCCAGTACATAGTTGTCTATTCTTCGTTGTGGGTCCTTCTGGTTGTGGCATGTGGGACGCTGCCTCAGCGTGGTCTGACGAGCAGTGCCATGTCCGCACCCAGGATTCGAACCAACGAAACACTGGGCCACCTGCAACGGAGCGCGCGAACTTAACCACTCGGCCACGGGGCCAGCCCCGGGTAGTTTCCTCTTTTGATGGGAATAATTTAGTGGAGAAGTTCAAGAAACATTGATTGATTTGATTGCATGATGGGAAAATTCTCTAGTGCTTTAAAATCTACCCCAAGCCTGATGAAACTGGAAATCCACTATAATTTTATTCTTTCACTTTAGAATATTATTTCTGGTGAAAGAAACTTTCACGCAGGCCTTGTTACTTATCTGGGACAAGCTATGATTTCTTTGACACTCAGTTTCTTTATCTGTGAAATGAGCAAAACAGCATCTATTTCAGAGTTGAGATTAAATGAGATAGTGTATGTAGAAGAATTTTTAAATACCTAGTATTATATATATACATTACATTATATATGTATAAGTATATGTGTGAGGCATTATTACAAAACCAGCACAGGAAGGGGTAACAGTTGTTCACAGCAGTTACACTTGCAGGACATTTTAGATCTTCTCCCTGGAGCAGGAGCTTGCTGCTGCCCAAGGGGACTCTTGAAGACAGAAGGGTAAGTTTCTACACGTGTTTAGTGTTCAGAAAATCCCCTCAAAGTTACTTTCATGTTATTTTCATTTCAGCAGGAAGATGATCACTCATTGACTCCATCAAGGTAAGTTTTAAGCCTCTTGGGCCTGCTTTTGTTCTCAGGTTTGAGTTTTTGTAGGGTTTGGATGCAATGCTTTTTCAATAAAATAGGCATACGATTAAGTTTTATATTAATTTTAAGTATTGGCAACCCTACATAACTGTTGTTTTATGATATTCAATTTTCTGAGCAATACTTCAAAGCATATGAAATAACTGAAAGGTAAAGGACCTTCAATTTCTTCATAGACAACAGAAAAGATATGAAACTTTTAAGCATTAGAAAACTATTGAAGAAAATATGGCGGCAACTCAGTAATCAACAAATAATTTGTTTGCCTTGAAATTTTGTTTGGACAGATAGGCAATTGACTATTCAGAAACTATTCACCATTGTAAAGGAGAAATTAATTATTTCAGGTCTTATCTTCCTTGACTTAGAAGCATTTGGATTCTAGGACTTAATTGCCCATTGATGGATTGAAGAGGGAACCGCATTCCAGGCGGAAAAGGCTGAAGAAAGGCAGAAGGCTCCACTCCAAGTTGGTACCGGTCAGCGCTCGGCTTTGGCGGAGGTCCGAAATCAGGTAAATATAAGATCAATTTTTGGTTTCTTCAACTACACAGTTTGTTGAACCTCAGTCATAATGTAATGCATCTAACGCGCTCAGCACGATGCCAGGCGCTAAATAAATGTTAGCTATGGGAGAGGAGTTAAGCAACTGGTAACTGCAAACACAGGCTGAAACCTAGTTCATGAGAGGGCACGCTTGTATTTGGACAGAATCTATTAAAATACAAATCTCAAGCATGCAAAACACTTCATAAATTGCTCTTACAAAATCCATACCAATTTAAAGGAAAGGTCTAAAAAGGAGAAAAACATCTGATCCATAAGATTTTAGGAGTAAGGGAATAGGGAAGTAATAAGAGATTAGCATAACAGTCTTCCACTAGTAAATAGCATTGAGTCTCAGCCAATGAGATCACAATTCTGAAAATTCCTAGATTTTCTGGCCCAATCAAGGCAAGGCTATGTCTATAAATAAGACTGCCTAGGCTCCTTCAAAAACATCGGTGAGAGACCATGGCCCGTACTAAGCAGACCGCCCGCAAGTCGACCGGCGGCAAGGCCCCGCGGAAGCAGCTGGCCACCAAGGCGGCCCGCAAGAGCGCGCCGGCCACGGGCGGCGTGAAGAAGCCGCACCGCTACCGGCCGGGCACCGTGGCCCTGCGGGAGATCCGGCGCTACCAGAAGTCCACCGAGCTGCTGATCCGCAAGCTGCCGTTCCAGCGGCTGGTGCGCGAGATCGCGCAGGACTTCAAGACGGACCTTCGCTTCCAGAGCTCGGCCGTGATGGCGCTGCAGGAGGCGAGCGAGGCCTACCTGGTGGGGCTGTTCGAAGACACCAACCTGTGCGCCATCCACGCCAAGCGGGTGACCATCATGCCCAAGGACATCCAGTTGGCCCGCCGCATCCGCGGAGAGCGGGCTTAAGGCATACGTTTATTAAGCAGGCGATCTAAAGGCTCTTTTTAGAGCCACCCATGTTTGCATGAAAAGCAGCTGTGCTAGGTTCATCAGGTGGCGTGGGTCTACTCGTATCACGCACCGGTGTTTGGGTAGAGGGGTCGGGAAGCTCGCACGTGGTGGGTGATGAGGTTAGCGGATCAGTGCCGGACCTTTGGCTGACAGACGGCTAGTGGGAACAGGAGAGGCAAAGTACAGGTTTGGTCAAGCCTGCTGTCTGTGTGCTGGTGTGATTTACACGGCACAGTGCCAACCTTGCTGCTTCTGTAAAAAAAAACTTGCAAGAGGATGGACTTGTTCTACCAGTCATTTGTAACGTGTTCCAAGCTGCTAGCACAAAACGTTAGCACAAATCTGAACACAAAAATTGACGCTTTATCAGGCCGTTATTATGTGATAACTCGGGATCAGACTCCGAGTTTTCAACTCGAGTCTACAGTTAGAACTAAGCCGGATGGTAGATAAAATCCTTGGTCCCTAAGTTGTTAGCCGGGATTTGAACTCATAAAAAGAACAGGGGGCAGGAGACATTCTGCTGAGTCTCGAGATGTATAAGATCCCAAGGATCAGGTGGAGGGTCGGGAGCGGAGGCAAATTCCTTTTTAAAAATTATGAAGCTTTTTTTCCTGAGTTAGGAATAGTATAAATTAATTTCTAGTTCAATATCTTTCTCATTGCATAATACAGGCAGCGTAAACCGGAATGGGAATGAGGGAAATATCTTGCGATTTTTTTAAAATGTGGGCTAAAGTATCCTTCAAAGAACTAAAACCAAGACAGAACAAGCTTCCACAAAGTAGAGAGGAGTAAAACGATGCAAAAATAAGAGAAGTTAACTTGTCTTTGCTGCTGCAGTACTCTTCCGTATACAGTTCTACAACTGAAAGTTGAAAGCCACCTAAACAACAAAAAAGACCCCAAACAGGTGAAACTATCACTTTACATGATTTACTGGTCAGTGTGAAATGGAACAGTTTGATTGGCTAACAAGACACTTGTTCTAATGACCACTCAGGAAGCGGGAGTAGAATCTTATTTGCAGGGGCTCCACCTTTCAATGATGACACTGTTGGAAATTAACCAATAAAAACGCAGTACTGTGTAAGTCTTCATTTGCATACAGGCTCTATAAGTAGCGCGTAACCAGCCCATTTTTTGCTGCAGTTGGGGAGTGTTTCTCTTTTAGTGGCATCTCTTTGTGCAAAAATGCCTGATCCAGCAAAATCTGCTCCTGCTCCCAAGAAGGGCTCTAAGAAGGCTGTTACGAAAGTGCAGAAGAAGGATGGCAAGAAGCGCAAACGCAGCCGAAAGGAGAGCTATTCGGTTTACGTGTATAAGGTGCTGAAGCAGGTGCACCCAGACACCGGCATCTCGTCCAAGGCCATGGGCATCATGAACTCCTTCGTCAACGACATCTTCGAGCGCATCGCCGGCGAGGCGTCCCGCCTGGCGCATTACAACAAGCGCTCGACCATCACGTCCCGGGAGATCCAGACGGCCGTGCGCCTGCTGCTGCCCGGCGAGCTGGCCAAGCACGCCGTGTCCGAGGGCACCAAGGCGGTTACTAAATACACCAGTTCAAAGTAAGGGCGTGTAAGAAACGCAGTAGGACGGCCTCTTTACCCCAAAGGCTCTTTTCAGAGCCACTTAAGTTACTTGAGAAAGCAGCTGTAAACACTTGTTGGAAAGCTGGTTGGTCTTTAGTGAGGTGGGGTTGGCCTATCATCATGAGTGCATTTGGGTTTAGGAATAGGTTAGGGATGTGATAAAGGTTACCCTGGGTATTAAAAATCTGCGGTTTCCTATAATCTAGTGGTGTCACCTGGTGGCACGACTCTTGGCTGGTGAGAAATTAGTTATCAAAATGGTCCCTATGTAGTCCTGGGTTCTCAGGGGGTGCTTGTGCTTGCGGGTGCTTAAGTACGGATAACAGAAAGTGGGCTTGAGGCCGTCTGGCTAAATTGCTATGGGGGAGGGGGACTGTCTTTACCACTTTATCTCTGCTCCTTCATGTCTATAAAGACAAGCTGAGTTTTCCCAGCAAAGAGATTCGAAGCCCGCAGTTCCCTCACTCGCCCCTGTTTAGTATTTAATTTTTTTTTTTTTTTAATTCTTGGCATGCACTTTTAGGTGTCTGTTACAAACTTTGTCCAACATAGCCATGTGCTTTAGTCTGTTGGCCTACCTATAAAATCTTGAGCTAGCCGTCCTCCCTTAACTTCTTCCTCGTCCAGTGACTCATCCAGGTAGAGGTATTTGCCTCCCACACTTTGGGACATTCGGCAATATCCAGACACTTGACTGTCATCAAGTGAGGAGAAGGATGCTGCTGGCATGTAGTGGGTAGAGGCTGGGGGTGCTGCTAACCCCCTATATTATATAGGACAGCCCCCACAACCAAGAATTATTTGGTCCATAATGTCGAGCCTTGTGCTGAGGTTGAGAAACTCAATGTCCAAAGACTTCCCTTCCTTCAGGATTTAACCCTCATTTCAGTCAAACATTTCCTCGGTGCTACCCAGCCAATGTTAGTGATCTTGGTGTAGGGCAAGGACCTTGCCTTGGTTCTGTAACAGTTTTTTCCTGATGATAACCACCTTGGTGCTTGCTAAACACATTTCCAAGTGACTCTCCTGAAATTTCCTGGTTAGGTTAAGTTGGAGGTGGGCACTGGGGAGGTGGTTTTTAGTGTTCTCAGGTGTATTTTTTTAGATTTTGGGGTCATGATGTACAGAAAGCCACAGTTAACACATGTAGAGTGAATTTCTAAGGACCTCTTAGTTCAAAACTTGTGTAGTTCAAGACTAATCCTGACAAAGGCTGGTGGATGTTTTATCAAGTAAAATACACCCTTGGGGCAAAAGGAAAGTCTTAGTTTCCAATTCACTTGACAGTGAAGTTTTGAAATTAAGCCATTCTTGATAAATTTGGGGGAATTTGCATGACGACTTTGTGCTTAAAATGAATTTTATTAATTTATAACGTAAGAGTTCAAATTTACATCCAGTTAAAAGTTGCATAAAATGAACTGCATATGATTTCTTTCTTTTACTGGAAAGTTAAGATGCTCAGTGAGTCATCTTTCCCTGGCGACTGCCAGACATGGGCCAGGGAAAGATGACTCACTGAGATTCTAAAATTTCCAGTGAAAGAAAAGAAAGCATTATACAGTACATTGTATGGTAAGGAAAATTAGTAAGTGAGAAGGCCAGGTGGTGTGTCTACCCATCAAGCCATGAGAGAGTGTATCTGGTGTCCCCTTTGCCCAGGATCCTGAAGTCCAGGGGCTCTCTTCTCTCTGAGGATTAGGGACCAGGTTTCTCATGGTCTTTCGAAGTTGTTAAAGCATTGTTGATTGGCTCACCTAATCAAAAGCTATCATTAATTATCCCCTGACTAAAGTATTAAGCCTCAACTCCTTATCTTGAAACTAAAGGCCTTCTACCATCTGGCCAAAACTGACCTTCATCAGTTACTCGTTTTCCCCAGGCCTCCAGCTTAGCTAAAATGTTCTATTCACTTTCTTGTAATGCATCTTAAGTTCTCTTCCATTGTGCCTTTGTTATCTCATTCTTTTACGCTGTAGCACTCAGTTGTTCTCTAGACCACTCAAAGCCTAGCAACCTGCCAGTTCTTTAACCTCTTGCTCAGTCTCACTCTGAAGCCTTCCGAGCCCATTCTAGTTCACAGGGAAGTCCTTCTCCTTTTAACTGTTAAGGCTTTGTTCTATTCACAGTTAATTGTGTGGCTTTTGAACTGTGGAGCCTTGTTCCTTAATCTCTTTTTCATTGTTTTTACATTTTCTTGTGTTTGTCTTCTACTAGAGGGCGGGGTTCATTTTTTTTTTATACTTCATGGGATCTTCCACAAAGGCTATCCCAGTGCCTATTATAAAATGGCTTTTCAATAAAAGTTCGTTGACTGATTGCCCAGTCCATAGCACACTAGAAAATTGATCTGAGGATGGTAGGTTTAAGTACTCCAATAAGCTTTCTTCTCCAGTTTTTCCTAATTTTTTCTTGCTCCTTTAACCAGGAATGCTCTTTTAATTGCCCTTAATAATTATTGATAGCAACTGTTAGAGATTCAAAAATCCCAAAAGGGGCAGATAAAGTAGTGCACTTGACAGCTTCCCTTTGGCCAATGTATCTTTGTGGCCAAAACGATGAGATTAGAGTGGAGTTTTTCAGCCTTGTTTAAGGTGCTGCTTTTCCAGTGTTGCAAACAAGGACCAGGAGGGAGGTGCATTCCAGAAGACACAAGGTGTGTGGTATTAACATAAAGAGCTTTAAGGATCAGATCTAGAGAGTATTGCAAACGCAGAAATGGGCTTGCCCTGGGTCAGGTCAAACGTCATCGAGCTTGGTCAAGCCATCTTTTCAAGGATTGGTGAATGGATTGTGGTATGTATAGAAACCTACAAAGATGATAGTTTAACCCTCTGTCATTGTTTTTAGACAAATATCTCACTTTTAAACTGGGTGCATTTCCTAAAAGTTATCTAAAAGTCAAACTTAACACATTTGAATTTGGACAGCTATAATTCAAGCACAGGACAACAGATGGGAAATAAGTATGTGATCTCTTTGTGGGATAAAGTAGGAGTTATCAAAGATTGTCAGTCTTTAACAAGGAAGGAACAAGACTGTTTTGGGGAATTACTAGATAACACTGAAGATTACTTCTACATTTTGTAACTATAGCTGAACTTATATGACTTGGCAAAAATAGAAAACTTGATGAAAGCTTCCAGATCCCACAATGTCAACATCAACAAACTTTTGAAAAATAAAATCAGGCTATGTTTTCTTTTCATGTATTATCAAATATGTGTCAAACATATAATATGAGAAAAGCAAAGAGATAGGGGATAAAAATATATAAATAAATCTAAGAGAAGGGATTACACCAGTGTAAAGATAATTTCAATTCAAGGCAAAATGTTATTCCCGAAAGAGGGATAAGAAGGAAATGTTCTAT